GCCACCGCTGCGGCTGCGGCGGCCGCCGCCGCCGCACAGCCGGTGCGGCACCGCGCCTCAGGAGTCCGCAGGAGCGCGGCCGGGCAGGGCATTGCCGGGGTCGTGGCGCCCTTCAATCCTTTGTTCGACCCTACGCCGGATTTCCTTGCGGCCGGCCTGGGCAACGGCGCACGGGAGCCTGAAGAGGAGATCCTGCAGCTGTCGGACAATGGGGGCAGCGATCGTCCGCCTTCCACTGGAAGCCCGCCCGCACGGGGCCCGTCCTCTGTGCCCCGGCCGCGCTCCTGAGCCCCGCGGCTAAGCAGCACGCCGACCAGCACATATCAATAATGATTGTCATCGGAGCTGCCAGCAAGGGGTTGGAGACGCTTTGAACAACCTGATGGTTCCGTCTCTCTGATTGCGCATCCATGCATGTTGCAAGGATACACTGGCCGTAGCCTTCAAGAAGCCACGGCCGCCTGGTCGTTTGTATCTCGCGGTATGTCTGCGCCGCCACACGCAAGCCACGCACCAGCCACCCGTTGCTTTCAGGAGTCCCTCTCCCATAGTTCATGACCACGCAAGAATGGACACGGCGCCAGATTTCCTGGTGCGCCTTGATTGCTCACATCTTATGGAAATTTATATGAATAATTTGGCGCAATGTGAGCGCCGACACATGGAGTCGTTTCGACTGCCCGCAGCCCCAGCCTTGGCCGAGGGTTTCACCCTCACTGATGATGCACTATTGGCTGGGACCTGTGGAGCGCTCACAGAGGTGTGGCACATGTCCACAAGCATCCAAACATTATTCTCTTGATTGCTCTTATGCAGTGCTTGATCCCTGGTGTCAGCAACACGTGCAGAGATGGCTTGTTGATCTCGAGTTCCCATTAACACTTTCAGGAGGCCACCTGATGGACACTCGCTGCCACTTGCAAGGCCCGCATGGCCATCTCTATCATGTCTTTCGCTCATGCGGCTTGAATTTAATGTGCTGCGATCTCAGCCTGCATGAACGGTCCGTACCCATGCCTCAAACCCTTCACGCGAGGGGCCACATGCACCACACTGTCCAACACAACTTCTCAGACTCCTGTAGACGTGTCCCAGCAGCCCAAAACACGTGCGCCCGCCTGTAACAAGTCCTTCCATATATTTAATTGCTTTCATAGCCACCTGACCTGCTGTTCACGGTCTGAAGGTGCAAGGTTGCGAGTGCTGGTGGGCACAGTCTGGATGGCAAAGCGTGCACGTCGTGGCGGGAGTTGCCGCACTACGTGCCGATCCTGGAGAGTCACCTAGGCTACTGATTTCAATGTGCTGATCTTACATTTCTTGCACATTCAGCGGCCTGCAAAGGTCTTCCCAGCACGGTGGACGATCAGTCAGTGCTCCGGTTGCGTGTGTGATAGCCATTGGATTTCAAGTAAACGTATTGCCTGCCCTTCAAATCAAACATTATCACCGCATCGTTGTCGGGGCAACCAGCACGATGCAATCTACCCTCCACACCGCGGGCGGTCCCTCCCGGGCAGCCGCTTCCCGATGCAACAGGAATATCGCTTTCAGCTCAGGACCATGCAGAAACACATCACGCCGTCACGCTAGCCGCGCGCTTAGCTGCGCCGCCTCGCCGCACCTGCTGCCGCTCCCGCTGGCCACACGCGCCGCGCAGCGCCGCGGCCTCGCGGCGCGCGCGGCCGCGGAGGCGAGCGAGAGCGCGGCGACCGCGTCGGGCCGCATGACGTACCGCCCGGAGTCGTACGCAGAGCTCGTGTCTGACGCGGCGGCGGCGCTGCTGCAGGGCGTCAACGCCGGCCTCAAGCGGATGGAGGTCGAGTTCCCCCCCATCCCCACAAACATCGACGGTGGGGCCCCGCTTTCTCATTCCGCGGGCACAGGCCTGTGGCTCTGCAGGGTCATCTCCATGCGCATGCGGCAAGAACTCCTGCAGCTGCTGCTAGCCGTGGCGGCTGATCCTCCGGCGCCGGGCCCGCTGGGCTAAGTGGCTGGGGCTGAGTCCTCTGCTGACCCTGCCACCAATGCCACTACCACCACTGGGCGTCACCAAACCCCGGCGGCCACCCAACCGCAGCGTACAAGGGATCCTCTGATCTGTTCATCGACTCCAACGTGCAGCTGGCCCTGGCAGCTGCCAAGAAGGTACGGGCCCTCCTGTTGCAGCCCGGGCGCCCCCCGCGGCCCCAGCCACACCCTGCGCCGCTCGCGACCCCGCCCCGGAATCCTGCGCTGCGCTGGAGCGCACGGCCGCACAGCAGCCGGGGTTGCCCAGCCCAAGCCTTTCGTGGTGCCCCTGGTGGCATTCGTCGTCACTGCCTGCCCGGCTCGTCTCCACGCGCCCACACATCGCACGTGCACGCAGGTTGCGGCAGCCGGCAAGCGTGTGCACGTGCTCGTGCCGGATCTCGGGGAATACGGGCGGTCCTACAAGATCTTCAGGCCCGCCATAGAGCAGATCGGCGGCGGGGTGACGCTGGGGCACCTGAAGGAGGCGCTCAAGGGGCCGGACCTTCTCAACAGCTTCCAGGTGGGCGGCTGGGCGGCAGCTGCCTTGGCGGTGCATCTGTGGGTTCCTGAGGCAGAGGCGCTATGGCTTGGGCCGGCGGGCATGACAAGGGTGGCTCAAGATGGGTGCAGGA